GGGGGGGGGGGATTTGTTCAGTCATTGCCAATTATTTCAGTATCTATATTTGACTTCTTTTTCCCTTCCCAAATCCAACTAAAAAACCCCTATTCATCACTTGCAAAACCTTTGTTGTACACTGGGTTGCCATCTTCAGGTGAAGCCTGAAGATCTCCTAGAACTACAGTCCATTTACAAAATACAGGGATCAATTCCCCCTGGAGACAATGTCAGCTTTGGAAGGTGGACTGTAGCATCATATCCACAATCAGTTCCCTCCCCCAAACTCTGCCCTCTCCAGGCTCTGTTCCCAAACACAATTCCCCCTGGAGACAATGTCAGCTTTGAAGGGGGACTGTAGCATCATATCCACGATCAGTTCCCTCCCCCAAACTCTTCCCTCTCCAGGCTCCGTCCCCAAACACCCAAGAATTTCCCAAGCCAAAGTCAGCAAACCTGAAGAAGTTAAGAAATCAATCCATTTAATGGGGGATTAAGTATATTTTTGCATTTCCCCTCAAATACTTTAAATAGACTTTTCAACAATAGATTGTTCTGAACTGGAATTCCTTTTATTGTTAGACTTACAACAATGCTGGATACAGGCACATTGACCTATACTATAGTAGTAATGTAATGGCATGCTAGATAGCTGATTCATGACAATAAGAAATGCAGTTTGTAATACTATTCAATGACAAAATTCATATTTTATTCCTGTGCACCAGTTATGTTATATATATCCTGATGCCCTGTAGGTAGCAGAATTTGATAATGGCTTCATAGAGCCTACTGTCTACGACACATGATATCTTTTGGATGGTCAGCTAGCATAAAACCACTTATCACTGATGTTATTTAAATATTACCATGTGAGTTAAATAGCCATTGTCCACACATTCAGACATGGATCCAGTCTGTTCATACCAACTCAGCTTAAAGGGTCTTCCATACCTTAGAGATCACATTGATAACTACAATGATCCCCTTCCCAAGGTGGATACCTCAAAAGCCAGGAAGGAGAATGTGTTACAAAAGACAGCAGAAATACATTGCTGTGGAATCTGTCACAGGAGTTGCTGCCAACAAACCATCTTACATTGTTGCCCTGCCTTATTATTTATCTTTGCCAACCTGAGAAGAAAAGATAGCAGCTGAACAGATGAAATAGTTTTAATTATTTGTAGCATCATACCACTGAGAACATAGGAAACATAAAACACATTTGGGGAAGAAGAGGTGCAACCTGTGCAGAATCAACATAGCTTAAGTGTACTTAATGGAACAAGTGTCCAGGTGAAGAATACAGGAAACATAAAATTTGCAATGAGGATAGGTGATGTTTATCTTAAAAGTTCATTGTTTATCTCCCTTGTTCATTGTTTTGCAGTCTAATCAGTTCTTTAGGCCTAGTTCTGACATTTATCTGGATGGTGACATTCTCTGAGTGATAGAGGAGCAGACACCTCTTTTCCACCATGACCACAGCTGAATGTTAAATGTTCCACATGGAGGTCAAAATGCATGAAATCCTATTGGCACTATCTTCTCCCCTTTGTACAATGTGGAACAACCCCATCACTATGTATGTGGTAGAGGAGAAAAGTGTGTACCTGGTTTTTATCACCCAGTGCATTGTTGGAATTCAGCCACAAAAATTTCTAGATTCCAAGGCATCTATACCATACCATCAAAACACATTGAACAATGTATCTGTTAGGCAACAAATAAGAATTCAATAATCTCTCTGATGACTTGCAAGTTTTTACTGCGTTTGAATAAGTCTGTACTGGGTTTCAATTCCTCCTATTCTCCCCTTTTCCACCCACTCACTCCAAAAGGAGGTCTATGGCATACATAAGCTACGATTAGGGATGGATTACTGCCCTTCTACTAAATTGTCCCTTCTACTGACTGCCCTTCTACTAAGGGGTGTAATCCTGCCAAAGGGGAAGCTGAAGCCACATATCTCACTTGATTGGCCTTAATGAGATTTGTATGGGGGTGTATAGTCCTTCTACTACACTCTCCTAACTTACAGCTCTTCCAAACAAATCATTCCCTGTAACAACGCTCACTCCAACTACATAGTGTTGTTTTCTCACTTAAATTCCATAATCCATGGTTTTCAGGATCATTTTCATATTTCCTTTTCCTAGATTACAAGTGTCTAGCAGCACAGTCCTAATAGAGCTGCACCCTGCTAAGTCAATGGACTGAGAAGGGTGTAACTTTGTTTAGGACTGCACTGCAAGTCATTGAGATATAAGGTGACTTGTCCTTCATGAAATGGGTGTGTCGTGTCCTCACTACTTTCCATTGATTCCATATTTTAGCAAAACACCAATACAATGAAACACTCAACATAGGTGAGTAACCAAGGCCTCCTGAGCATGCCAACTACTGGTATGTCATTGGCTTCATTTCATGTTACTACAACATAAGTAATAACTTCCAAAAGTGGCCACTGTACTAGAATGGCAACTGGTTTCCCCATGCCCTCACCTATATCCTGTGATAACCAAACATCCTTCATATTTTAGTTACCAAATGTCTCACAGTGGCCACAGCTCATTATAAATTGGAAAAGCATCTATTCTTCAAGACTGCAAGGGAGATGACTCACCAAAAATATTTTTAATACAGAAGCATTAGTAGGAAGCACAAGCATTTCTAAAAGATGTTCTATGTAATAACCAAACATTTAACAAGCACATAATAAATAGAATGATTCTTTCTGAAAGAAAAATGATCTATACCTTTACTTCTACCTATAAGGTATGAAGTTGTATGTCCACATAAGCACAGGTACGAAGAAGTGTCCACCAGGGAGAAGGCAAGAGAAAAGAGTAGGAAGGATTAAAAAAATGTAAAAACAAATAAAAATTAGATCACTATCCACATCACCAAGAGACATTAAGCATATGAGCACAGCACAAAAGAATAAACACTGCAAAAGCACACATTAAAAATAAAAATGAGATAATCGCAAAACATGCAGCACAGATAAAAGCACCATTTCAGCTTTTTCGCTCCAACTGCATATGAAGAAAGGCAAAACTGTCATGCAATAGCAGTGTGTCAGCACTCCACAGCACTCCACATCAAATTAAAAAAACTTTAAAAAAAACAACCCTCAAAACATGTGGGAAAGGGATATCCTGTGGAAACATATTAGTTCAATATTTTCCACCTACCAGTATATGGTATAAGTAGGATGAATAAAATTGTGTAGTCTTTCTGGATACACAAATACACACTGTATTGCTATATTATATGGCCACTGTATATAATATGTATTTATAGGCACACCCATTCACACAAGTGCATTAGCAGTTTACACATACTATATAAATATTCATCAGAGTGGAAAAGTTGAGAGAATTAGCAGGAAAGAATAGTAAAGTACAGCCACAATTGCTTGACCCAGTGAGATGGATAAAGGGCAAGGTAGCAAAATGTCAAAGGTCGGTGGTTCCTAGACCATTCACTAGGCAAGAGGAAGCAAGATGAAAACCATGATTATTGATCAAAGGTAAGCCAAGGCCAAGTGAAGATAGGCTGAAGGAACTGGGAGTGTTTAGCCTTGAGAACAGAAGATGGGGGGGGGGGAGAGATCACGGTCTTCAAATACCTCAAGAGCTATCATGTTGGGAAAGTGCAAAGACTTGCACTCTGCTGCTCCAGAGGGCAAGGCTACATCTAATGGGCTTAAGTTTAATGAGTTCAACTGAAGATGTGGAGAAAGCTCCTAATAGTTAAAGAATGGTTCAGTGATGATACCCATTACCTGGAGGGGGCGCTCCCTTGCTGAAGGTCTTCAAGCAGAGACTGGAAAGCTGCCTGTCAGAAATACCCTAGATTTGAATTTCCTGCATTGAGCAGGATAATTGGAATATTTGGTCCATAAGGCTGCTTCCATCTCTAGGACCCTCTTCAAATGGGTTGCAGCTTGCAGCCAACAGACTAGTGCTGCCATACTGTATAAAACAAGTATTGCATCACAGGCTCTGTGGATGTGCATCCATTAATACAATGCTTGTGCATTAATCTACTTAGAAAAGTTTGATATTCTCATAGATTTTGCTCCTCTGTGGACCTCCCACTGACTTCAATTTTTACATCCAGCTACAGGTGGCTGGGACTTGCTGAGTGCATGGCTTACTCAATGGCAGCTTATCACACTTGACTATCCAGTCAATGAGACCAGCTGAACACTGAAGTAGGGGGTGGAGAGTAAGTGAAGAACTCCCTGGAGCCCAGCCAGCTACTATGAATAGAGAGGAATATGTTTGTAATGTAATGAGAATAGTCACAGGAACTGAGATCAGGCCTCCTGGCAGAAACCCGGATTGCTAGACTATCTTAAAATCTGGGTAAAGCACCAGTTCTCTGGTGCCCTGTGACATCATTTCCTATTAGCCAGTAATATTCATCAGTATTCCAGGTTAGTTGTGCAGATTCCACAGCATGCTGTCCATGATCTGTTTGAAAATGACTTTGGCAGGAAGCAAAGAGCATTTCTTCACTGTGATGCATATCTGGCTTACAGGTGCATTGGGAAAGCAACAGGTAGGGCTGGGTACTAGAATATGGTGTTTATTATTGCTAATCCCTTTCTGTTTCACACTGAAGTCCTTTTTATCAGATCAAGCAGCTCCAGAAAGAGAAGGTAAAGGCTATGTTGTCCTTTTATAACAATCACTTCGAAAAAGGGATATTTTTTTTTAATGGCAAGTAAAACTGAGTAGCTCTGTGGCACCTGCCTGTGCAAGGGCGTTGTGACAGTGGCAACATATATGCCTCTGTTTATGCCACTGCCACTAAAAGGTAAACTGTGCAACTCAGCCACTGGCTCTAGATTTTAACTGTAAGCTACTTTGGTAGCCAGTCTGACTGACAAGAGGAATATAAATTTTTCAGAAAAATCAACAGTATCAACACCACAGGAACAACTGCACTCCAATATGGCTTTATGGATTCTGAACAGCATCCTGGTTTCATGTTCCCAGATTATTTCCCCCTATTTCCTGAACTACCAGAAGTATATTGTCCCTGCAGATATGGGCTAAAACTAGGTTGCCAGGTCCTACCTGGCCATGGGGGAGTAGGGTTGCCAGATCCAGGTTGGGAAAGTCCTGTAGATTTAGGGATGGATCCTGGGGAGAACAGGGACCTCAGTCAGGTACAATGCCATAGAGTCTCCCCTCCAAAGCATCCATTTTCTCCAGGGGAACCAGTCTCTGTAGTCTGGAGATGAGATGTAATTTCAGGGAATCCCCAGGTCCCACCTGGCTGGCATCCCAAGCTGAAACGGAGTTCTTGAATCCCAAAATGGAAGGATCCCTTCTTTCTGTCTGCTGGGTTTGATCCAGCCAGATTTTCACTCAATCTCAGCTGAACCCCTTCCTTATTTCCACCCCTAACTCGCATAGCTTTTGTCCATGGAGGACTCATAATCCTCATGGTCCTCCATTTTTCATCAGCTGGAAAAGTTGGCTAGATCCAACCAACTCTCTTATATTCATTAGTTCTAGGGCTTTTTTAAAATGAAAAAGAGGTGCCAGAACTCTCAAAAGGGAAATAAAGTTTTCAATCTATATACTGAAAACTCATGAACTTTTAAACATTTTAAAAATAATTTTGTCAAAGAGATTCCAGAACTCCATTCCAGGGCATTCCCCCAGAATAAAAGCCCTGATTAGTTCTAATAAGCTGGAAATGTGTTAACCAGCAAGGCCAGTTGTACCTGAGACCAAAAGCTGAATGGATCAACCTCTAGCTCAGAGCACCACCTGTCTCTCTCCTCTGCCTTACTAAATGGTCCCCTGAACCTGCCATATCCAGATAGAGCTATGACATCTTAGTGGATCAAAAGACCTGTAGATCTGGCCATACCATCCCAGAAGCCTCTTTCTGTTTTCCTCTCTCCTTATGTATTTCTCCTTCCTCTACAAACCTAACATCACCATTGTGTGCCCAGCAAGACACCAATGAGCCCATTCTGCCAAATCCAATCAATGTACAACAACACCTGGGTTGAACTACAGTCTTTTTGCAGGCCAGCCTCAGGTTACCAAAATTCACCTGTTGAAACAGTGCATTCCATACATATTTGAATATTTTAATTTTGCAGATTCAAAACAGTAAGGACCTTTGGCTGCAAAGTGTCATCAAGGTATGTAAGAATCTGGGATCATGCCATGAAAACTGCCCAGAAAATGGGATCAGGCTTCTGAAGGCTGTATTTACCAAGAGGATAAACTTACCATGCCAGGTATTTATAAAAGGGTAGTGGATATGAAGAGAAGCGGTATTTTTATATTTTTCTTTAAGCGCTGCATTCATCTTATCAGCTCACTGTCAACACACCAGGCTTCCAAAGATCATTCTCCTGAGCACTGGTCACACAGCCCAAAGTTCAGCAAATGGGATGGACAGGAAAGGTGGGGAAGGAGAACACAAAGCAGTTTTACTGCTTTGGATGGGTGGGCTTATGAAAGCCAATCCCGAATTAGGAAGAAGCGTGGGTCGTCATGGCCACATTCAGCCATTGGAACAATAGGAAAGAGAAGACCTACCTTGTTCACCCATCATCAGGTGTGAAAGTCCTTTGAGAAAGAGAAAGAAAGGAAGTGAGAAAGAAAAGAAGCAGGAAATAAGAAAGATAAATATAAGACAACATGTGTATCTGCCCATTTATATAGCCCAATAACATTAGAGAACATCACATACTTGAACAGTAAGTATGGGTATCGCACTCTGTGCATGCACACACCATAGCTTCCCCTATCAAAAAGGGGATAGCTTGGTCTGCAGGTACAGAAAAGATGTCAGTAACATCCCATTGATGCCAATAAGAAAACACTCACTGACATTAATGGAATGGAATATGACCACAGTCACAGTCATAGTCACAGTCTGTGTTAAAAATATGAAAGGCAATCAGGAAGCACTCTAATATAAGGGTATGCAGTTAATCATCCTCATTTTTATTAAACAGCTTGGGTATTTACCCATAAATTTAGCCTGTATCACTGATTAAGCCATTACTGTACCCACATCATGTGCCTCTCGTAGCTTTTATTTCCAAGGTCAATACCAATGCATTTCAACTACACAAATACAGGTGCACTAGGGTGTGTGCAAACATGCACGCGCAAACATACAATCAGTGCTACCAACATACATACATACAGGGACACAGGGCTGTAGCCAGCAGTGGGGCACTGAGGGCGGCGCCCCCTATCAAATCTGCAGTGCCCCACTCCCGCCCCCTGCAGCCCCAGAAAGTTTCCCTGTGAAAGAAAAGCAAGCCCAGCAACAGCAACCTTACCTGAGGTGGCAGAGCTTCCTGGTATTGCTTTACGTAGGGCAGGGTAGAGCAAGAGGGAGGGAGGCAGGCAGGCAAAGTCAAATGCAAGGAGAGACCTTGCTGAGCAAGGAGGCATGACTTGGCTGTGCTTTTCCTGCACAGGAGACAGAGCGGTGGGGGGGAGACCAGGTACCAGGGTTCCCGGGGACTTCCTGTTGGCCAGTCACAGACCAAGATGGACTGGGGAGCATTCCGGAGGGGGGGCTTTTTGCTGGCGGTCCTGCCTTGCTTGCAACCAAGGAGCTGGTAAGATGTTTTGTTTTGTGCCTCTCGCCCTCCCTCTCCCTCGCTTTCCCTGTCCTACATAAAGCATTACCAGGAAGCTCTGCTGGAAATGCTGCTGCTTCTGCACTTGCAAAAGGCCAGTGTTGCTGGTTGCCAGTGAATGAGGAGGGAGGGGGCTGCTGTTGCTGCTATGCTGCCACCACCTCCTCTTCTCCTCGACTCATGTCCTAGTTAGATGTGCTGCTGTTTCCCCTCCTTTTCTTGAGGGTGGTGTGCATGTATAGGTGGCAGGGAAGCTCTCTGCCTGCATTTATTCATGTGGAGGGGCATGAAGAAAGGGTGTGAACTCTCATGGTTGTGATCCGGGGTGTGTGTGTGCAGGGATAGATGTGGACTGTCCCTGACTGTATCTTTGGGGTGGGGTGGGGAACCTATTCAGCTTTCTCTTTCTCTTCCATTGCGCATTTGGGTGAGGTGAAGAGCTGAGCTGGTAAGTCTCTTTCAGTGGCTTAAATGCATCTCACACTTAATTACATTAGCTCCATTAATTACATTAGTGCCCCCCCCGGCGCCCTCCCCGAAAAAATTCCTAGCCACAGGCCTGCAGGAATATATTTCACATGCACAAAAAATACATATAGATACATAGATTTATGCATATGAGCACACAACTACTATTTATGTATTTATTGGTGATATTCTTAAATCAGACATGCTGCATGTGATCAATATTTTGAGAGTTGCAGGTTCAAGAATCCCTCAGGTTTTTTCTATCAACAGCAGTTCTGAGGTTTAAATAACTGCTTTCATTTCTTCCTTTTCTTTGACCATGTTAGAAATTTAAAACTCAGATCATCCAAAGGAAATGTTCATCCAAAAGAATTCCTCTCCAAAGGGGATTAATAGCTGTAATAACAGTAAAAATCTGAATACAAATGTTTAAATTACTAAAGATTATAAAGGATTTGGGGATGGTATAAGAAACAACAGGTTTAGCAATCATGGGGTATTTTTCCCCTGGTTAAAAAAAGGAGTAGATTTGTTCTGATTGGGATCTCTCTCTCTCTCTCTCTCTTTTGTTCAACTACAACATGATTGTTCATCATATTTTTTTTACTTCATTTGGGGATACTGCTAGTCCATTTATGACTGCTTCCGCCACAGATGCCTTGGAAAGCATCAGTTGCTGGTTTAGTTCTGATGAATGCGGTAAAAGAGTTGAGGTCCAGATATATACTGAAGCAGGGGTCATTTAGTAGAAAAAGAGCTAGGGGAATGCATTAGCATAACTCATTAGCATATGCCACACCCCCTGACATCAGGGGCCCGGCGGTGGACCTGCAAGGCCGGCGGGAGTGCAAGGAAGCCCCGACAAGGCCCTCCCTGGCCCCAGGCAGGCAGGGGTGGGGAGAGGCGGGGAGGAAGCAACTTGCCCTCTCTCTTCTCCTGTCTCCTCCTGGCTGAATGAGGGCCGGAAGCGGGGCGGCCGGAAGCAGGGGGCGGGGCTTCGTCGTGTGCCCCCCCCGCACCTCACCCAGGGGAACTGCGATCCCCGCCGAATTGACCTCTGTGCTGAAGCAGAATCACACTGATCATAAATACAGAGATGTTGAAGCAATAGTAAACCACGGAGGTTTGCTAGACGTTCTATGTTTTTATGACACCCAGTTGGGGAGCAAAAAGAGGAGCAGCGATAATATAGTAATAGTACAGAAGTGGAAAGACTTATCACCTCCCAGCTTGCTTTCTACTGTTAAAAAAACTGGCTGCAATTAAACAATTGATGTACAGTAGCCAATTACTAATTGCAGAATCACTTTTAAATAATCCAACGACAGCCAAAGTTCAGTTCCTCACACTTTAGAACCATGTATGAATTCCTTGAGGACTTGCCCTACATGTGCATCATATGGGGAATTAATTATTATAATTGATTGGTCTGCCATGAACAATAGAGTCAGTGGCCTGGATCCAGCGATGTGCAAGATCTTGTGCATGAACCTATTTAGAGCAGTTCTGGTTGCACAGCCTCTTGTGCAATACCTAGCACCTTCCTCCCTATGTGTTAGAGTGCTCAGAAACTGGTTACATAAGATCATGCACAAGTGGGGATACAATAAGTTTGACTTAGCACAAGTGGGTACCATGGTCTTTTCCGTGCATTTCCCCTTGTGTAGGAGCTCTAGCCCAAGCACAAATGTTGTGCTAGATGCAGCCAACTGCGCGCAAGCAACTATATCCCCCAAATGATTCTGCCAGTGTTCTGTTAGTTCATGAGAACTTCTAGGTGTTTCTAGAGGCTACATTGTGCAAGCTGTTGGCATATGGATCACCCAGAAAACATATGTATGAGCAGGAAAGAGGACAGTCCCCATTCCAATCACTGGCATGGGCAAGAGAAGGGAGAGAAAACACTTGCACAGAGACAAAAACTCACTCCCTTCCACCCAAATGAGGAGTAGTTCTTTTATGAGATGCTTCATTCAGGGCTCCCTTCATGTTACCATTGCACCTAACTGTAAGATCTGGCAGCAGTTTGGAACTTGGACAGTGTTTCTACTTTGTGGCCCAAGAAAGACAAGTTTATTGATAGGACAGCACTACCCAAAGGATGTAGAAAATGGAACGACAAAATGAAACAGAGAAACAGCATGCTGTGAACAGCTACAACTAGGGTTACCAACTGTCCTGGAGAAGAATGCCCTGTCCATTTAATGGAGTCTTAATGTGTGGAAATGGATAGGTGAAGATTTTCATGCCATGGAGATGAATAACATCCCATCTTTCTTCTATTAAAGGAGCAGGATATTTTTATTCAGGCCAGTAGGCAGCCCACAGGAGAGTGTCCATGTTTCTTGTCTTCTGTGGTCACATCTGTTGAGAGGAAGGCCACATGTGGGAATTCCCCCACTGATTATTCTATATTCATGTTACAAAATGCTACCAAACAGAGTACATATGTAATGTTCCTTACACCATTCAATTGCCTGTTTTGCCTGTTTTGTGGGGAAGTTTCTGTCATGCCTAGAGACCTCCTGAGGAATGCCCTCTAGTCAGAGTCCCCCGTTATTCCTGTTTCTGACAAAGACAAAGCCTTTCACGGAAGATCACTTTTGACAGATTTGGGAAGAAAGGCTCCCATCTGCTGTCTGCCTTTATTCATAATAGCACAGTTGTTGTAGCAGAACAACCTGATCAAAAATAAGGATTTTTAATTATTGCCCTGTATGGCATGTGTTTTCTTCTAATGCATATTGTTTTAAATGAAATTGCATATTTGGCTTCTGGGTTTTTTTTAACTGCTGAAAACAGCTAAGTTAGAAAGGCAGGAATACAAAGCAACTGTTGTACAGCTACTCCCACATGCTGTCTCTAGATCTAGGTGGGCAGCCCTGTTGGTCTGAAGCAGCAGAACAAAGTTTAGTCCAGTGGCTCCTTTAAGACCAACACAGTTTTATCTGAGGAAGTGTATGTGCACATGAAAGCTCATACCTGTTCTAATGCTGTCTCTAGTTATTTTTTAAATGTGCATGACCAATAATAGTTGAATGTATCATTTAGAACAACTCACACATGTACAATGATCCTATTAAAAATTATGAGTGTGAAATTGTCTATTGTCAATATTCTTTGTATAGTATGAGTGCCAGTGACAAAACAGCTGAAAGATGCTTCTTTAGGGGCCCAATTCCATTACTGTCAACATATGTCTGGCACAGGAACTTGCAGTCAAATGAGTTCACCATGGGATTCACATCTTAACTGCTGAGGATTCAGATTGTTAAATGTCTCTAACAAATACCTCTCTTTTTTTGCATCCCCGGAGGGATTTTTTTTATATAAGACTACAAAACTACAAAGAAAATATAAGGGAGGGGGCTAACATCTTAGGATAAAGGATAGATAACCACACTACACAAAAAACCCAAGAGGAGGAGATCATATCCCTGTTAATTTAAATGTTATTAATAAAAGTATTAATATAACAATATACTTGTAGAGTTCTTGTTT